TGGGGGTCTTTACTACGCATGTATGGCCGTGAAAGCAGCAAGATGGTCAAACAGGTAATGGGACCTTTCTCCCAACCTTGGAGCACATGCTTGGGGTCCCACTGTCACAGGGATAGAGTCAAGCAGCTCAGCGCTGGCTATCTTTCTTGGGTTCTCTGCTACCTGTGACTTAGTTGGGGTGGGTCATCCTGCCCAAAGGGCCTGGGCCTGGTGCTGGCAGTTTGGGGAGGAGACTGGAGCAGCGGAAGTGCAGATGGTGAGTGCTGCCAGCCCTGAAACCTTAGTCTAGTGATAGCAGGCCCTATGCTAATTTGAGGCCACACAGTGGCTGAGGGAGAGGGAGCGTACAAGGGCAGTTCTCTTGGCTATGAACAGTTACTGAGCTTTAGTTCAACAGCCTGTGTGTCATTTGTTTTGTTTCTGCTACTTTTGCCAAGATCTTGAGATTTAAACCAATACCTTTAGGTAGATCGCAGATAGTTGGATGACAGATGCTTTGTTGGGTGGAGGGAAGTACTAGGAGGTGAGTGTTTACATATTTAATTTCCCCCTGATGTTTATAGAAACGCTCTAGGTTATCAGCACCCCAGTAAGTAGAGGGATGGCCAGTGTAGAGTTGGGGACTACAGGTGGTGACTCCAAAGATCATAAGGTGGACCCTCAGGCCATCCCTGAAGTGCTCTTGCTCTGGGCATGATAGTAGGCCTGGTGAGGGAGGTGAAGGGTCCTCAACTTGCTTAGAGGAACCTCAGGATATGTGTTTTTCAGAATACAATGCACATGAAACTTACCTTGCCTTTTGTATATGCCTATATTCTGTGTATTCTCTCGGGCTAAGGTTGAAGGAGAGAAAGCCCACTTTGGCCCATGGGCGGGAACCTTTCCTAAACTGGAGGGCGAGGGGTCAAGCCTGGGAACAGCCCAGCATGCGGCTTTTGGAAGACAGGAGGGGTCTGGCACCCCAGATACAGTAGTTGTCCTGAGAGACGGAGGGCCCTAGGACAGTTAGATCTTGCACTGAAAATCTAGGGCATGCAGAGAGCTCAGTGGCTGGGGCTGATGGCCTCCCAGCCTAGGTACCACTTCAGTCAGAGTGTTCTGGGCACAGCAAGTCTGGCTGACTGCTGTGTCTAAGGCAGTGTCTAGCTTCTTTGGGTCTGGACAGGGGTAGAAACAGCTGGGTACCAGGGTGCTTTTGTCCCAGAGCAGGTTGTGGCTTTCTGTCCACTGAGAATGGGGCAGTGGGGAGCAGCACAGTGTTCGCTACACAGGTTGAGGGTAGGGCAGCTGGTGTGGGGTCCAGGGCAGCCCTGAGATGGAGGCACTGTGCTCCCCAGGAGACCTCAGACAAGAGTGTGATTGAGCTGCAGCAGTATGCCAAGAAGAACAAGCCGAATCTGCACATCCTGAGCAAGCTGCAGGAGGAAATGAAGAGGCTTGCCGAGGAGAGGGTGAGCATAGGCCATGGCTCCCCATCCCCGTGCCCCAAGGCAGGGGATGGTACCAAGCTGCCACACACGATGGCAACTGCAGTTGGGGGGTGGGGCGCAGTGGAAGCTGTCCCATAGGAACCCATCACTGGCAGTGCCCAGGCACCTGGAAAGCCATCCAGATTAGATTTGCTTTTCCCTTGAGCTTCAGCATTCATGATACTTATGCTAAATCCCTATTTTATATAATTAAGTTAGAGAGCTGGCATCCCTGGCTTGATAGAGGTTGTGAAGGGCCCAGCCTCTTTTCACTGACTCCAGAGCTGGCTGTTTTGAGGGTAGGGAGAGTGCACTGGCCAGCCCTCTGCCCCCTCCCCATACTCAGGGTCCTGGTGGGTGACAGACTGCCATCCTGGGCCTCTTCCTCTTGGAGTCGTTAGCAGTTCTGAGGAAGGAGTGTGTTTCACAGAACCCATGCAGTTTCTAAAGCCTCCCAGTCAGGCGGCCTCTGGGCTCAGATCTTTTCAGCTGTGGTGTCAGCCTGGGCCTGTAGAAACCCTGAGGTGTCTGTTGTCTTTGTGCTCCTTTTGGATCCAGGGGATGCCTCACTGTTGCCCTCAGGTAGGAATGAGAGACCCACTAGGGGCATATCCCTGGTGGCTGTCACTTCCTTGGCTCTTCATTTTTGACTGTCCTGATACCCAGGGAAGGAATTATGGACTCCTTCCATAATTTCGTGCAAGTACATAGATGGCGTCCAGGGTTATCCTCCCATCCAGGCCCCTGACCGGCCCACACCTCAGGTCTTTATCTTTCCAGCCTGAGATTGCAGAGCACAGGTGCCCTCCCGCTCCAGAGACTGCCTGGCACCAGTCTGTTGGGCTCACCCCCCACCCACCCATCTCCCTCTGGAACCTTTTGCCTAAAGCATCCCTGACCTTCATTGTTTTTCTAGGAGGAGACGCGAAAGAAGCCCAAGATGTCTATCGTGGCATCTGCTCAGCCTGGTGGCGAGCCTCTATGCACTGTGGACGTGTGAGGAGATGGTGGACCAGGCACGGGGGCTGCCAGCTCTATTGCCAGGAAGACCACACACTGCTCACTCTGCAGCCTCTCATCTCCAGTCTAAGTTCCTCCCCTCAGCCACATGTCTGAGGCTGGGGCCAGAGGGGTGGGGCTCTGGTGTACGGGGACAGCCAGGGCCACATTCTACTATTCCGTTTCTTTGTGGGCCACCCACAGGTCTGAGTGGACGTGTTCAAGCATCAGCTCATCCTGCCTGTGCAGGTGGAAGCTGAGCTTGGAGATGACCTATGCTTTTACAGGTTTGCTGCAGACTGGTTTTACAAATATTTTCATGAATTTTAGTATGTAACATGCACTGACAAGAAATGATGGATGACAGATGAAATGACAAGTGATGGCCGAGTGCTATGGCGCCCTGTGCCTAGGGCTCCTGCAGGCACTGCAGGGACCTGGTCAGAAGGCGCATGCTGGCACACCATCCCCCTTTTCTGCCTCCTGTGTTTTTCCTTTTTTTCTTAAAATGTTTTAACAGGAAGTATTTCAGACCTTTTTGGTTGAAAATGAACAGTTTTAGTATCAGAGCTATTTTTCAGAGATTACCGGTAAATCAAGGTCATTATTTTTCAGCCAGTGTGTTTCTGCCTGGCTGTTCCCAAGCCCTGAGCTGGGTTGTGATCCATTTTTCCGTCTTTTAAAAAATTAAATATTTTTTATTGATTTGAGACAGAGAAAAACAATCAATTTGTTCTACTAATTTATGCATTCACTGGTTGATTCATGAATGTGCCCTCACCAGGGATCAAACCCACAAACTTGGCATATCATATCAGGATGATGCTCTGACAAACGGAGCTATCCACCCGGCCAGGGCCTTCTGAGTAAGTCTTAATGCCCTCAAAACTCACCACCTTAGATAACTAGGTTGGTTGCCTTCACTGGCCTTTGGCAACTTTTTACTAAAGATTTTTGCACAGTCAAATCCCTCTGTCCCCCCTTCAGTTTTTAAAGCTTTTATGATATTTTAGCATTTGGAGAGAAACTTTTACAGTGTGTAGAAGATAGGTTTGGAATCATGTATGTAGCAGATATAAACAATTAATGAATTTTAGCACGTGGGTTTATTTAAGAAGAGGGAACAAGGACCTTTAGTGCAATCCATTCTTGATCATAAACTGGCACTCCTCTCCAGATTTCGTGCAAGTACATGGATGGCAGCTTCACTGGATTTCCAAGGCAGCCGCCCTGTTAACCAGCTCACTCCTCTGACCAGCAGCCTGTGCTCTACAGGAGGCCCCTGTGGACAGGTGCGGGGTTAGATGTGACCCTGCCCTGAGTCCCAGGGGGTGTGAGGGGCCCTGCTTGTCCCCACATGTAAGGTAGTGGTGGTTAGCCATTGGTTTCCTGTTCCAGCACCTCTTCAGGTTGCCACACTCATGGTGCACTGCCAGATACAGGAGCCCTGCACTGGGTTGCATTGTTACGTTCTTTGGGTGTGCCTGTCCACCACATCCCCTGTGGATGGTGTTCGTTTCCAGGAAGACAATTGGTGGTGTCTGCTTCCGGGAAGACAATGTTGGCCTTGTAGGCCACCCAGTGTATTCCTCCCTCAACACCCATGTGACCAAGGTTAGCTTCTGTGTTGACCTTTATAAAACGGAATCCTCAATCAAGTTGCTGTAATTATATTCTTGCTTCTGTCTTGCTTGTGTCTGCAGCAATGAATAACTGACTGTGATGGTTTGCCCTTAAAGCAGCCAGATGCGCCATTATGAACCAAAGCTTTGTGCACATGTTCCTAGAAGTGGGTGGGTCTCTGAGGCCCCACATCCTTTCTCAACCCATGTGCGGTGTGTGTTGTGTGCCCAGCTGTGCTGTGGGGGTAGAGGGCAAGGAGAGCCTCTGCTGATGCCATCTCTGTGCATCATACACTTCCTAGATGGTGGTTGGGCCGTGGCTGTAACAGTGAGCCTGGATTGTTTGGACACATAAAACAAAACTGTCCAGAAGGTTCTGACTGGTGTTTTTTTCTAGCTGTGGGAGACTAGGGGTCTTGTGGACCTCAGTTTGCCAGAACCTCTCTGGAGCAATCCCCAGCGAGCCTAGGGCATTAACCTGGACACAGCTGCTCCCCATGGTAGCTGAGCAGCATCCAGCCCAGCTTCTTTCCTCAGGCTCACTTGGAGGTGGAACAAAATTGAGGGTCCTCCCTTTGGGGCAGGGGAAGGAGGCAGGGGTTAGACAGGCAAGGCCAGCCCCCTGCCCTGTGCTCTCCAGGCCCCCCCACACTTGGCCTTTGTGAAATTTGAATCTGCTTTTCAATAAGCATAAAACACCAAGCCCTGCTGTACAGAGGGGCTGGGAGAACTGCCCCAACACAGCTGGGTCTGTTGGCTGTATGCAGGGCTGGCAGGATGCTGGCAGAGCCAGAGGCTCAGGCTTAGACTTCTCCCCAACATGCCTTCTTACCTCTGTCCCTTTGCACTGCAGTGAGGGGGCAGAACCCCTGTCTGCAAAAGCTTTGGGTTCTCATCACAGAAACATCAGTAGTTCAGCAGTTGTTTATTCTGGCCCTTTTCCAAAAAGAGTGAGGGTGTACCTGTGTGCAGGGTGCAGGAGCCTATAACCCACAGTAATGGGAAAGGCCCCGGGCAGGACAGCTGGGTCTGTGTCCTGTTGGGAGCACTACCTCCGTGCTTTGGGTGAGGCAAGGATTTGAGGGGTCACTTGGTCTGCCCCTGTGATACCAATGAGACCTGTTCTGGAAAGGCTGATTTCCATTGCTCCAGGGCCTAGGAAGAAGGGGAGGACTCAGATTCCTGCTGGGTGTCATCTTGGGGCCCAGATAAGTGCTGAGCTGGTGGGTCCTTGGGCTCCAGGGTCTCTGTGCCATTGGGGTGCTCCACCCTCTCAAATAAGATGAGCATCTCGCAGTGCGGGGTCTGCGGGAACAGGTCCACAGCCACGGCTTTGACCGGCCGGAAGGGAGTCCCTTTCACTCGATTAGATGGGGCTCTGCAGAGGCTGTGGTGGGAAGGGAGTGGTCCTGGTTAGGCTCATGGCTGGGCTCCTGTAGGAGCCACGGGGCTGGGTGCTGGCCCCCTTGCACCCCAAGCCCCCACCTTAACTCACTCTACAAAGTTGCCCATGGCCGCCCGGGGGTTGCAGGAGACATACAGGAGCCGCTTGAGGTTCTCAGCTCTGCGGATGGCCAGGATCACTTTGGAATCTGAGGAGGTAGATGCCTTAAGGGAAGGTCCCCACCTCAAAAAAGGGGTAGCTCAATAGATGTGGACCTCAGGCCTGAGGCTGCACAGCCTGGGGTTCCACCCAGATTCACTGTCCTCCATTCCCTGAACCACCCTCAAATGGAGTTACTCACGCAGGCCGGCGCGGGGTGGGTCCAGGATGGCAACCAGCTGCTGGGAGGCCAGTTTGCTCACCAGGGCAGGCACCAGGTCCTCGGCCCTCCCACAGTGGAACTCGACATTGCTCAACTCTGCAGATGGCACAGCAAGCCTGTTGGGATCCAGGATGCTCTGCCACACTGGATCCGCTGAGCTGCCTGGTGTCCTGAAGCTTCTGACCAGAGGTGTCTTAGGAAAAGCTCACCCTCCTTCCCTATCAGGCAGCCCCAGGCATTGTGGGTGCACACTAGGGATCCTGTTGTGCCTTCTGCAGTCTCTGTCATGTGTCTCCCCCCACCCCCCCAGCCATGTAATGGATTCTAGATGTGGTGTTGAGGTATATAGCCGTGGGGACTGCCCACTGGCTCTCACCATTGTTGTTGGCATTCACCCGGGCGTCCTCCACAGCTTCCTGGCACAGCTCAATCCCCACAACTCTCTTTACCTTCTGAATCAAGGAGAGGGTACAGGCTGAGGGTGCCCCCCCCCTCCCTCTCCCCCCCCCACCCCTGGGGCTTGGGGTGGAGAGTAGCGGGGGGCATTGGGAGAAGAGGATTTGGGACAGGCTGGGGGGGTCACAAAGTGGTGGTAGCAGGAGGGCTGGGTGAGGAGAGGGCATCCTCAGCTGGGGTGGGATGGAAGGCTCACCCGGGCCAGGGCCAGGCCGATGGTGCCAGTGCCACAGCACACGTCCAGCACTGTGCTCTCCATATCCAGCTGGGCCCAGTCCTGGATGACTGTGTAGAGGACCTCAGCTGCTGGGGTGTTCACCTGGAGGGTGGGCCAGCACAACCCCGGATGTCAAAGCAGCCCCACTGCCCAAGTTTGCCTCCCCCCTGCAGCGCCCCACCAAGTTGCCTGCATTCTCCAGGGAACCCCCCTCTCTGAGACCTGTGGCCAGTCCCTGGCTCATCTTTTTTCTAGGTCTGATCCCACCCCTTCCCACCTCTAATTGTGGAAGCACCCAGAGCTAGTGGTCCAGCTGCCCTCCATCTACAAGATGCTGGGCTTCCTCACTCAGGGCCCTGATTCTAAAAGCAAGTTGGTGCTGACCCCCGACATCCCTAACTCAGGAACTTCTGAGTGATGGATGTGTGGGACCTCCCCATCGTCAGACACAGAAGACTCCAGAACTCTCACCAGCGCCCTGGCACCACCCAGCTCCCACTCCCTACATGTGGCTCCAGCAGGCTTATCACAAAGGTCCAGTTAGTGAAACTTACTACATCGCAGCTCTTGTGGCTCCCCTGCCTGAATGCTCTCTCCCAAACTTCTGCAGGCTAACACTTGTCACCTACGCTAGCCCATTAGCCCAATTGTGTCCTGGTAGCACATTGGGCCTCCCTCCGTGTGTCTTTATGATCCCCAGGGCACTCGTCTACCTGGAAGAAGGCATGAGGGGAAATCTGGAAGGTCAACCCCAGCAGATCTTCATGGATGTACTGGTCCCCAGCTATGTGCTCCAGGGGCAGGCCCTCTTGGCTGGGAGTCTTTCTGTGGGTGGTGAGGTCGGTCGGTGTTGCCAGCCCACGAAAGGATTCATCCCTCCCTCCCATCCAGGCTCCTCACCGCTGACCCTCCTTCACGAAGTAGAGGCAGGTCACCCCGCTGGCCTTGCCCGGCCCCTCTGTGAAGTGCTGCGCTAAGGAGGCCTTCAGCCCTGCCAGCTCCTCAGGGCTCAGTTTCTGGAGGAAACGGTAGAAAAGGCCCCGTGAGGCTGTGTTGCATGCTACCCACTCCGGCCGGAACACTTTCACCCAGCAGGGCCCCCTAGCCCGAGACCTGAGGATGGAAGTAGGCAATGGCCATGGCTTGGCCGCGGCGGCTGGTGCGCACGGTCAGCTGCTTCCAGTGGCCCGAGTACGTCTCCGGGTCGTATGCCGAGTACGGAGTAGACCTGCAGGAGCGATAAGCAGCCCTGAGTCCCCAACATCTCCTTTAGCCACACTCACCAGGCCACCAAAGCCATAGGACCCTCACCCCCGCCTTTCCCCAGCAGGACTCGGGCTCTCTGCTATAAGACAACATCCGGGAACCTTCTCCCTGCTGCAAGCCCTCACCGGATAAACTCTTGAAAGGCCTTCACCACCCGCTTGGTGGCCTCGGGGATGTGCACGGTGTCGAAGGGGGCCGCCACAGCACACGTCCCGCCCTTGTACTTTCCCAGCCGGCAGCCGACAGTGTTGTCCTCCCCGTCCACTCCGACGCCCACCAGGAACTCACACTTGTTTCGATACTCGGTCTGTGCAAGGTGAGCAGAGGGAGGCAGAGAGACACAGGGGACCTTACCCTGACAGCCCACCACTTGTTCATGGAGAGAACCACAGTGAGAGGGAGAGGGCAATGTGTGAGAAGCCTCCCCCCCCCCCCACCCCCCCCGGGTGTGGCAATCCAGGAGACAAGGCCGACAACAGCTAGCAGCCTAGTGACCAACATGAGTAGTAAATGCAAAGCAAGAGGGATGGGTGAGGACAGTTTTCTTTAGGAGCAAGGGGTAGAGGTGTGTGGGCGGGACCTGCTGGGGCGATGGTCTGACCCCCTCCAGCGGGCAGCAGGCTTTGTTGTGCTTGTGCCTCTGTGAGAGCAGCCAGGGCAGCAGGGCACGGTTGGTGGTCCCAATTTCCCTGCAGAGTGAGGTGGGACCAGGGTTAGACTCAGCCCGCTGCCCCCATACCATCTCCAACTACTCTCCAAACACCTAGGTGCCTAGGACCCTCATTTCCCCCACTGGAACACAGGGGTCTTACTGGCCAGCTCCCCAAGAGTCTGGGCAGATGCCAAGCAGGGCTGTACAGAGCTCCGGTGTCAAGGGGGTGGCTGTGTTCACTCACTTGGCAAGCTTCTGCAGCACCTGCTCACACTCCAGCCGCTTCCTGTCCAGCTGCTCAGCATAGGGCACCGTCCAAAGAGGGGTCACTACATCGGCCACACACGTGGCTGGAGGCTCACCCTCATCCTCACGCTGCCTCTTCCTGGCCATGGGATCGGCCTTGGGCCTGGCCATGCGCACGCTGAGAGGGCGGCCCTTCCAGAGGGCGCCGTGCAGCACACGCAAGGCCTTGTCCCGCTCGGCGGCACAGCGGAATGTCACAAAAGCGCAGGGAGGTTGGCCGAAGAGCTTGGTCTTATGGGGCTGCAGGCCAAAGCGGCCCAGAAAGCGTCGGACGTCGCTGAAACTGGCATGGCGCGGCACGTTCTGCAGCTCCAACTTGAAGATCTCCGAAGTGAACAAATCGTCCCTGATGTAGCTGTAGAGCCCTGGCTGAGGGCCTGACTGTGCAGCTGTTCCAGCTCCTTCCTCCTCCTCCTTCTCCTCCTCCTCTTGGGGGACTGGGGCTGCAGAGATGCCCAGGGCAGCGCTGCTGTCCTGGCTGCAGCCATCGACTGGCCCAGGGCCCTGTGAGGAGACAGGCATGGGCTGGGATGAGGGATGGACTCCGGGTCCTGAACGTCCAGGCTTCATCGCCTCACATCTAGACCTCCATTTAGTGCTTCCTACACCCGGCCCCACCCTTTCTATCATCCTCACCCTCCAATCCCTTCTCTCCCATCTCACACCCCCATCCCCAGTGGTTTCCCACCGTGCCCCCATCTCCATCTCCTTCCATGACGTCCGCCACCGCCGGCCCGCGTCTCTAGCCGGGATCTCCCTTCACTTGTCAGTCATCGTCCGGTCCGTCCTGATGCCTGGATTGAGGGGCCGTCTCCACCGCCTCCCTGGGCCCGGCGCACGGGAAGCTCGCAGAGCGCGGGGTTGGGCACCCTGAGGCCGCCTCTCAGCTCCGACCCGCGGGAGGGACTCGAACCCTCGGGGCTCAGGCCCCGGTCTCGGGAATGGGGTGCACCGCCCGCCGGCCAGGGGCTCGCGCCAGTGGATCGCCTCGCCAGCCGCTGTGCAGTCGGCTAGCGCATGCAGACTAGGCGGTGCGCCTCCATCATCCTGGCTTCCGGCGACGTCATCGCCGCGCGCCGGCACCGACTCCAGCACCTGGCTCCCGCATTCTCGAGCCCCGAGACCCCGCGCGGCCGCGGGGCGGAAGTGCGCGCGAGGGCCGTCGGGAGCGCACGCTCTCTGGGCTGCCGGGAGGGCCGGGCATGCGCCGCGGGCGTTTTGGCGGGAAGCGCGGGGCGGGCCGGACAATGACAATGTCCGTCGCCTGAGCCAATAAAGCTGCGCTGGTTTTGAATCGCGGCGCGTTTCCCGCCTCCGGGGTCAGGGGTCAGGGTTCGGGTCGCTGGGCGGAGGGACGAGCGGGCGGGCGGGAGGCGCCGGCGCCAGACGCGGAGTGAAAGAGCTACGAGTAGCCGCCGAGAGGCCCCGGAGCCAGCAACGACCAAGCCAGCCGCTCCGCCGCCGCCGCCGCGCCGCCATGGCGGCCGCCAAGGTGCGGATGGGCCTGGGGGGAGGGTAATGGGCGGGGGCCGGGGGCCCGAGGCCGCTACCGGCGGCCACGTGGGCGGCCCGCGCCGTTGCCGCCAACCCCCGCTGGCCTGCGATCTCGGCGCTTGCGGGGCGCCGTGGCGCGGGGTCGGGCTGCGGGGACTGCGGCCTGGGGTCTCGACACACTCGGAGCCAGGATGCGCGGGGCCTGGGGTTGCGGGCTCGGGCCCGAGGTCTGCGGGTGTCTACGCGACCTTGGGGCGGCCCCACCGCCCCATCTTAACTGGTCTCGTGTTCACTTCGCCGCTCTCCTAGGACGCAGGCCGGTTTCCTCCGGCTCGGCCCACATGCGGGCTTGCCACCGAGATCGTGCACCCCTCCCCTCCCTCCCTCCGTGGTCTACGCCGCACTTCATTCATTCTGGCCTAATCCGAGCGGCCAAAGGCCTCTGCGGCGGGCGCTCTCGGGGTCCGGGGCGGGGGGGTGGGTGGGGGGAGTCCTGGACGTGCGGACCCAGGGCGGGGGCCCCCGGCTTTGTTGGCAGCAGCCGTCTGCTCTGCTGAGCTGGCCGCCGCAGTGCTGCCCAACCGGGGAAAGCAGGGAAGGCTTATCTTTTCTTTCTCGGCTTCAATCTGTTCATGAAGGGCCCGGGTTTCTTACAGTTCTGTGGATCAAAGCCGTGTGTTCTGTACCTAAGATAAGGTCCTTTGTGTCCTATCTAAAGCGAACCGGGATTTTAAGGCTCTTTTTGACTTTAATTTCCGAACCAAGGTAAAGTTTCCGACAGAACTGTGAATTCCTTGTGAGAGCTGGCAGCCCCAACTTTTTCGCCTAGGAAGTGAGAGCACCCATTTTCCTCAGCCAGTACGAACTCAGCGGGTCGCTTTTTGCTTTTCTTGTCACATTGTCCTCTTTCAGTCCCTCGTTGTGCCCTTTAATCTAAACTTGGCGATATCAGTGTCTGCATTTTACGGACGAGACCACTGAGGCTCAAAGAAGTGGGGCGGTTTCTCCCAGGCCACTTGGGTAGGAGGTGGCTGAGTTTTAGGAACCCCGGTCAGATGCGATGGATGCATCCAGAGGAGGGTGCGAGTGCCACCATGTGCTGGGCTGACATGCAAACCTTTCCCAGTGTGAAAGGCTGTAGGCGACATCTCTTGCTTTGTGGTGAGGCCATTCACTGGTGGGGATGCCCGCTTTGGACACTGGGGAGCCCTGGCTTGTGGGCCATTCGTCACCTCTCCACACCTCCCTCCACAGGACACCCATGAGGACCACGATACCTCCACCGAGAACGCAGACGAATCCAACCACGACCCTCAGTTTGAGCCTATCGTTTCTCTTCCTGAGCAAGAAATTAAAACCCTGGAAGAAGATGAAGAGGAACTTTTCAAAATGTAAGTAACTGATCCTGTTGGAGAAGTGGCTATCTTCTGTTTTGGACAGAATTGGTGCTTTTTACGGGGGGTGCCCAGGCCTTGGCCTGACCTATAATCGGACAGAGGCTGAAGAAAGGTCCTGGAATCGTGTGATGACTAATCAAGGCTGCTATTGCAACCCACTGCTTCCATCACTCATTCCTGGGTACCCCTGCTGCTCCCTGGTGTCCTGTGGCTGTTCCTCTGTCCACAGAGGTGCAGCTCCCCATGGCCTGCCGACTCCCACAGCCTGGGTTGAGCAGGGAGTCTACTATTATTACTGTCTTTTATTATTATTATTATTATTATTATTATTATTATTATTATTTTGCACATGGACTTTAGCATTCTGAATCTTGTGAATCCTTGATTCATTGTGTTTAATGCACAAAAGAATGCCTGGAATTCCAAACGAAAGCGGGTAGTGTTACAGTTACTGAGGTTACTTTTTAAAAGTTCCTCTGAAAGTGCTTCTTGGCACCCTCAATGAGAAGTTACAAGGCATAGTTTTTGGAGGGGGCGGTTGGTGTTGTTCGGAAGCAGTGCCTAACTAGCAGTGTTGTTGAGATGTCTGACCCGTGGCCTATTGGGTATGCTCAGAATTGCAGGAAAGGCTACAAGTTCATGAAAATAGGGTGTAGTCATCCCCCGTCCAAGTTTGTGGAACTCCTCCCTCCTCCCCCTCCCCAACCTATCCAAGATACTGGGTTATGGTGTGAGTGCTTTGCTTCACCAACCCTGGGACCCATCCCTTTAAGGAAGGGAGCTTGGGGAGACCAGCTCCCCACAACCCCCAAGGACCTGGGAAAGCGTCGGGAGCACAGAGACTCAGTTGGAAAGTTTGTAAGGAGGACGTTCTGATAAAGGGAAGTGTGTGGAAGGCCGTCTGCCCTTATAATTCCCATTTAGGGGAGTGTCGAAGGTGGTGCCTCGGATTATTCCTTGATCTTCCCAAACAAGTCTGTGCTTACATAGACCCCCGTGTTTACTGGAATCCTTATGCTTAATCCCTGGATGCCCCTGCCTAAGGACAGTAAACGTGTTCTCGCAAGATTACTCACCCTACTGATTGTATCTAAAGATAAAAATTCCAATAAAAGCCTAATGAGGCAGGCAGTGAGGCTGCTTGGACCCTTGAGCCAGGGAAGTCCCTTAGCCCTCTCCCCACAGTCAAGCTGTGCTGGAGGAATCCATCCATCCGATGTGCAGGGGCTGCTGGTCGGCCTCGGCAGGACAGAAGAGATGGATGAGCCCCTCTGATTTCAGAAGGCGGTTCTCCAAGTCTCTGCTCTGCCCAGAAATGATGCTGCAGCCAGGGCTGGCTTGTCCCACGAGTGAGGTCTGCTGGTGGTGCTAGTACTGTCACCTCCTTGTCCCTGTGGGGGTGGGAGTACTGTTGGTGTCCTAGACACAGGCTCTTCCTGAGGGAAGTGAGGCCAGTAAGTCTGGCCTTTGTGTGTGGCTCTTGCGGTCAAAGCCCTGGGGGTCTCCCTTACCAGAATTGAGTTTCAGGGAGAGCAGAATTTCTGCAGGAAAGGGAGTAGCAGAGTTGGGATCCTGTGGGGAAGCAAAAGGGCAGGTGTGGTTGGTGATGGAGGCTGTTGGCCTGAGCCCTGGGAGGACTGCGGGGCCCAGGGCTGGGGGGCGGCCTTGCCTGGGCCCAGGAAGGCCCTGTTCTTCGCAGGCAGTCCGGGTATTGGGCCAGAGCCCGGTGGCCGGAGGGGGCTGGGGAAGCACAGGGGGCATCTCACAGCTGAGGGAAAGGTTGGCTCTGTGGAAGGCAGGGGTCTTTGGCCTCCGTCTGCTCCCATGCTCTCCCTGTGGCCCCACCGGTCACCAGGAAGTCCTGTACCATGTTCACAGACACCTCAGGAGACACAGGTGAACTATTTTGCCGATGAGTCAGGTCTTTGTGTTAGAAAACGTTGTGACAGGCCCTTGTCGGTTTGGCTCAGTGGATAGAGCATCGCCTGCGGACTAAAGGATCTCAGGTTTGATTCTGGCCAAGGGCACATGCCTGGGTTGTGGGCTTGATTCTCCCCCACCCGCCCTCCCCAGAAGTGGGCATGCAGGAGGCAGCCAGTCAATGATTCTCATCATTGATGTTTCTATCTCTTTATCTCTCCCTCACTGGGAAAAAAAAAAGTGAAAACGATGTGACTGTAGAAATCTTTTATTCTTTCTTATCATCATGTTAAAACTGGAATTTGCTTTTTTTGCTCTTTTGGTGACATTTTGGTTTGTAGTTCTTTTTAAAAAAATATTTTTATTGATTTTTTACAGAGAGGAAGAGAAAAATATAGAGTTAGAAACATCGATGAGAGAGAATCATTGATCAGCTGCCTCTTGCACACCCCCTACTGGGGATGTGCCGCAGCCAAGGTACATGCCCTTGACCAGAATCGAACCTGGGACCTTTCAGTCTGCAGGCCGACGCTCTATCCACTGAGCCAAACCGGTCTCAGCGGCTTGTAGTTTTTGTAGTGCAAAGAAAGGAACGGGTGTGCGTTGAGATATCAGATGCAGCTGTTTAACACCCAGAAAAGAAGCGCCTTTTCTGTGTGTCTAAGCTCTCACCTAATGGCTTCTCTCGAAGGCGGGCGAAGCTGTTTCGATTCGCTTCCGAGAACGACCTCCCGGAATGGAAGGAGCGGGGCACGGGCGACGTGAAGCTCCTGAAGCACAAGGAGAAGGGGACCATCCGCCTCCTCATGCGGAGGGACAAGACCCTGAAGATCTGCGCCAACCACTATAGTAGGTGCCCCCCGGCTGTGCTTTCCTTCTGGGCCCCGCCCGACACTGCATCGGGCAGCTTCCAACCGCGGGCAGCCTGCCTCGGGCTGCGCTGGGGCCCACGAGTGCACGCTCACAGTGTGTGTTTTCTTTTAATTTAAACTAGGAAATGAGGTTTGCCAACGTGCCTCAGAACTCAGAGCAGACCTGCAGAGAAGCTTATAGCCACGGGGGTGTGGACACTGGGCAGGTGGGACCAAGCGGGATGGAGGCAGAGCCCCAGTGTGGCCTCGGAACCAGGCCCGGCCTAAGGGCGTGTGAGTGCGTTTGTGTGTGTGCTCACGTGCCTCTGTGTGTGAAGTGCCCGGGCGGCAGCCTTCCCACCCGTTGGTGTGTTCTGTCCCCCATGGTGTGCCCTGGGGAGGACGTGGGGTTGGAGCGGGGTGGGGAGAAGGTGGCGGCCTCGCCCTTCGGAGCCCGTGAAGC